TAGTGGTTGTGCCATTTGGTTTGGTGATCTAGTTGACATTAGACAGTTTCAATCTGGTGGGCAGGATCTGTTCATTAGGATGTCTGCTTCGGAATCAGGTATGAACATCCCTTTCATTCACCTCTCTTCATGAGACATCTTGAATGTTTCATTGATGCTGAGTCTAGTTGGAAGTAGAAAAGTCAAAGAACTAGAACTATGCTTATTGCAGCTTGTGAAAGTGTACTGCAGCTAAGATTTAATTATATTTGTTCTTTCTATTAAAATTGACAATGAAGGATCGAAGAGAAATGAGAATAAGTTGAAGATAGCACTGATAATTGCAACTCCACTCGCTGCACTTCTGGCGATGCTTATTTTATGCTATTACTTCTGCAAAAACAGGGGAAGCCCAGAAGGTAAATAGTCAAACTTTTCACCAAAACAAATATATGTTGATTTTGTTCCTTCCTGCTATGACTACTGGCAAAATCCAATCAGTGTTTTGTGAATGCACTTGTTTTGGCTTTATTTTTATTTTTTATTCTTTCATTTTTCAATTAGATTCTTTGTGGCTCGATAATCTTCAAGATGTAATGGCTTGATGATGAACAGAAGGATTTTGAATCTCAAAATACATTTGTTGAAAGCATAACTAGTTTAGTTCTCCATTTCTGATCTTCCCATGGTTAACGTCAAGCTTCATGTCTACTACTGTTACAGAGAGAATCAAAGAGAAGAAAGAAAATGACATAAAGAATGAAGGCCAAGATGACGACATGGGGCTTCCAGTATTTCAACTAGCTACAATCTCACATGCAACTGATAATTTTTCACTCAGCAACAAGCTGGGTCAAGGGGGTTTTGGACCTGTTTACAAGGTATGTTTTGCAGCATGTTAATGAAATTGAGCATAAGAAAATTGCATTTGGTTTTAGAAAAAAGAGGCAAATTAGGCACCAAAAAAACTATTTTTCACAGAAAAATAAGCTCTTGATGAAACTTTGGTCTCTAATCAGTCTTTGAACTTATGAACAACAGCAAATAAGTCCAAAGTGGATGGAAATGTTGACATGGGCAAGTAGTTTTGTTTAATTTTTTTAGTCATAAGTATGAAAGTATGATTTAAGCAGTCCACGTCAGTCTTTTCTATGAATAAATGCTGATACAATTTCACCATGTCATATAAATTTAACAGGGACTAACAGCTTTGTCCATTTGGAGTTATTTGCTCCTATTTGTAAGTTTAGGGGCTGATTTGACACTGAAGTTTGACCGGGGGCTTATTTGCTGGTGAAAATATTTTAGGCTAAATGTCAATTTTGATTTTTCAACTTTAAAATTTAGCACATTTTTGGTTCCTCAAGTTTTATGCACGTTTTTCCCTCAACTATGAGAAAGACATTTTTTTTAATCATTCTATCAGTTGGCCTTTTAAATTTATTTATATATATTTTTTTAGTTTTTTAATTTTAAGATTTTTTTTGAAAAACAAAAGAAATATTTATTGATGCGGAGTACAAGGGGTGCGGAGTACAATGGGTACTCCAAACCCGTAAACATCTCAGTTGGAAAGGCATAGAGTTAATAGCCCTTCCGTTAGGTGTCGACACCTATATTTTGTGTCGACACCATGTCCGTGTCGGGTTTCACAATGCTCAGCCCTTCCAGAATACCCTAACCTCCCTTGTTGATATTTTTGGCTCTGGGTTTCCTTAGTTGCATTTCTAGTACCTTCCAACTGTTTGCAGCATGCTTCTATTCTTCAACCTCCTCACATCCTTCCTTGATGCTTCAAACAGGGGATTTCACCAAGTTAGCTGCTTGTCCTTAATCTTTTCTCTTACTGGCACAATTGAATTTTAAGCAGCCCATCGGATATTGAATCCAATCTGACAATGAAAAATAGCAGCCTTCCCTTTTACCTTTGATCCAGTTGAATGCCCTTATCTGTACCATCTCTAATAGCTTTCTCCTGTCAACCTCTTTCTGTTTAAAGATCTTCTCGTTCTTGGCAAGCCAGATTGTCCATGTCACCGTGAACCAGACACACTCCCATCCAATCTTTTCTGTAGTCATTTTAGCTGCATTCGGGTGCTGTTCAAAAACCTTTTTACAGTCTTTGTCTTGTACTGTTCTAATGCCCCACCACTTGTAACAATCCCTCCACAAATCTGAAGCTATTTTACAGTGTATAAAGAGATGATTGGAATCCTCATTCTCCATCCCGCAGAATATACACTTGCACTCCTCGGGATTTTTCAGTATTCCTCTTTTAAAGAGATTGCTTCTTGTTGGGATCTTGTTTTGCAATAGCTGCCATACGAAAATTGATATCTTGGTAGGGATGAGCGAATTCCAGACCATTTGTGACACCCTTCTTGGTTGTTCCACTCCATTTCCATCTGACAATGCCTTATATGTATAATTTTTGTCCCTTAATTTAAAAGTTCAAGAACTAAAAATGTGTATATATATATGATTATATTTAACAAACTAACTAATGAAAGAATTAAAAATGCTCAATTTTCATAGTTAAAGGATCAAAAGAATATATAAAAAAGTTAATGGACTAAAATTGTGCAAAATCCCAAAGTTTAGGGACCAAATTGTAATTTAACCAATGTTTTTTGTGGCTAATTGGCCTTTTTTTCCTTTGTCTTTACCACTACGTACTTGGACCTTTTTATTTTTCTAGGGGAAATTAGTAGATGGGCAAGAAATTGCTGTGAAAAGGCTTTCCTTGAGTTCTAGACAAGGGGTGAATGAGTTCAAGAATGAGGTTAAATTGATTGCCAAACTTCAACACCGGAATCTTGTTAGGCTTCTTGGGTGTTGCATTGAAGGGGAGGAGAAGATGCTGGTTTATGAATACATGCCTAACAGAAG